TCTCTCTCTCTCTCTCTCTCTCTCTCTCCCCCTCTCCCTTCCTCTCTGAAATCAATAAAGATTTTTTAAAAGTTTTAATTTTATGTATTACAATTGCTTTTGAATTAGGCATCAAAGTAACTTTTCCTAAAGTCAGAGGTGTTGGCATCAGCCCTTCATTAATTATATTTATTTTTAAGTGATACTTAATGGCAGACCATCATCATCTTGTCATTCTCCTCCCTGTCCAGAAGCAGTGCTGTGTTTGCCTAGGCCTAGAGCAAGCTGACACATACCAAGTGGAAGCGGAAGGAATCTTTAGTGTAGGCAAGAGTTTGTTTTAGAATCTTTGGACCTTAGTAGTCACACTTTCCAGATCATTGCTTCAGAGGGGTCTACTCAGTAATGGGGTTAGTGCAAATTACAATGTCAGGGAAGGGTTTCCAGAAAAACATTCAGCTGAGAAAAATACAGATACCATAAGAACAGTAATGTACTGTTACTATATACTCTCTCTTGCATCCAGAGGTTTAAAGGGGATCCTGGACTAATTCCTGTTAACACACAGGGCTTGCACATATTACACCCTTCCCCTTATCTTCAACCCCAAAGACACTGACTCAGCATCTGGCCTGGAGCCAGAGAGGCATATCCTGAATTCAATGTGCAACAATGTTCAGTACAATATCCTGTGCAACAATGTTCAGTATGATTATGACATAATGGCTGCAAAGCTGTGTCTGAAAGCCAAGAAAACCTGAATAATGTGGTTGGGCTATATCATACATGAGGGCTTAATAGAGTTTAAAAACCAATTTGAAAATTTCTTCATTCCATAAAGATAGCATTAAGATGAGGGTAAAATCATTCTAGTTCAAGGGATGAGAACAAAGAGCATAAGGAATTATGCAGACTCCTTCCCACATTATCCTTCTTCACCAAAATGACCCATTCCCTTTGCAGATATTTCTGCCACTGAATACTGACCCAGAAAGAAGGCAATTTCCTGAAAACATCTTAGTCTTATTTGTACCCAGCTAGTAATGCCAGTTTCTTTGCTGTTTAAAAAGCACACAATCCTATTTCCAAAAACAACTGTTTGTCATTCAGAATCTGTCCATTCAGGCAATGTCTTCCATTCATCACTGACACTCCATTTCCAATTCATCTTGCCCAAGAGGCAAAGTTATTCTCATGACCACACAAGACCTGAAAGATGCTCCATTTATTTTTAGCCATTTTGTAGCAAATGACTTTGGAACATTTTAATTACTAACTCTAACATTTTCTTGTATGTGTGATACCAACAATACATAGGCCTGTGAAGTACAGTGGTCAATTTGAATGTTGGAAACCAAGCATTCTTGAGGTCAGGCCCTAGCAACCCTCAGTTACATGAATTCTAATCCTCTGAATCCTATTCTGTTACTTAACAGCTAACACTGATAAAATATTTTGGAACTAGGAAGTGACTTTGCTTAATGGATAAAGAAGCTAATGTTTAATCAAAGCCTTCCATACTGCATTTGTTTGTTCATTTCTCTATATTTTCTTCTTGAACAATGACCTATTTTTATATATAATGAGACCAACACACAATTTTCAGAATTAAAAGGGATCTCTAAGTTCACCCCCCTTTCTTTAAAAAAAATTCAAAAAGCTTTATATATTAATCCTCAGAGTATACCAATAACAGATACCACATTTGCTTAAGCCTAATTTAAGGAAGGAGAGAGTGAGGAAAATCTCAGCTTTGGATGGCAGAATTTTTTTACTGTAAGAATGAGGTTCTGATCTCTAAGTCTAAAAACATTCAGATTAGCTTTATTTTTGAATCTGGAGAAACAAAGCTAAATTTTGATTTTTTTTTCAGTTTTATGTCCTAAGCTGCTTACTGAATTTCTATTAAGAACTACATGTTTTTAAAAAATCAAATAATTCAATCTCATGTTCTTCCTCCTGACATTTCCCCATTATTTCATGATTAATATGAAAAGAATAGGAACAATGAGGGGTAGTTCATTTATTTCCAGTAGTAACATTCTGATTTCTGCTGCAATTTTATTGGCAAAAAAGAAGCAACAAATACCACATGCCTGCCTAATCACAACACAAAAAGTTGATTTTGAACTCCTCCAGAATGTTAGTAAAGTAGAAAAGTTGATTGTGGCTTTCCTTCAGTGTTATTTGGGCAACCCAGACTTAAAATAGCCACCATATATAGGTCTTCGATCCTTAAGGCAGGACCAAACCAAGATATGAGTGCCCTAGGTAAGCTAATAATTTGGTATATCTTCAAATGGATACTATTCAAATATTCATTCACTCAACAAGTGTTTGGGTGAGGAGTTGAGCATGGCAGGACTGGAGGGAGGGTGGAGATAGGGCTGGTGAAGCCTTTCAGCTTGCATATTCCATTCTAAACAACAATGGCCCTGCAACTGACAGGCCAGATCTCCCTGGAAGGCAGTTTGGTGACCATATATATGGATTCTCAAATATGCCTTTCCCCATTCCAGGCTGGTTATTAAAGTATTAATGACTGCAGCATTTATAACTGCATCTAGTAACCCCATAAAGTTATTGTTTGATATTCTTTTCTCTACCTTGCTGCATTCCCAATGATGTTTTCACACTGTCTTTTTATTTCGGTAGCATATAGTGAGTGTCTGCAATTGCCAGGCACTGTGCCAGGTACTAGAAATATAAAAGCGATTGGGATACTTTCCATGCCCTTAAGGAATTCACACCTTGGGCAGGGAAAAGTTTTACAAACAAATAATACAATACCGCAGTGATGAAGCCTATAGCAGCCAAAATGGTTGCTACTATGTATTACTGGTGAAATGCACTGAAATCCTTGGAGATGGATACTTCCTTAAAATAGAAGGTATTCTGAGTTTTGCCTCTATCTCTGGAAACCTTATTTTGGGTAGGAATTGAAATAAAAAGAGAATAAGTAATGTTTTTATACCTCCAGTTTCCCTGTGGCTATAACTGGGATAGGGAGTTAGAGATATGGGATAATACCTATGAGAAGCTTAGCCAAAACCTTTTATTTTGCATATTCTTCTGTAAATGATTTTGTCCCTCAAACATGTTAACTAGGGGAAGAATGAAGTAAGCTCACTAGTCCCTGCTACCTGTGTAGCGACACATCTCAGGATCCAGATGGTTTCTCCCCTTCACAATAATTGCAAACAATATTAAAACTGCATGCAGGGACTATTCCAGCTGGCTTTTGGCTTCCTCTGATGTACACTCCTTGAATAAAGCAGTGGCAAGATTAGATTTAAAATAAGGAACATAAAAAGCCTTACTACCTGTACCAGAGCACCATCATGCTAACATGTGGAACCTGGAGCCCTAGCATTAGAGTATAAGCCAGCTAAAGTATGCACACATTATGAAAGAAAAACTTTAATAATAAAAAAATAACTTATTTTCTGAAGACATATCTCCACATTGCCTCTGGGTGCTTAAGAGTACAATAGAGTCAGGCATCTGGAATAAAATAGAAATACAGTCCAATAAATTCCTAAGCTGGAAAATCTTCATTTCTATTACCTTACCTGCCATCAGTCCATCTAAATAAAACCACATGGCCACACTTTCCTCTGGTGAAGGAGACAAAAAATATTGATCCTTCCTTGGCAGGAGGCTACTACTGACCACAGGAAGCATGAAGAAAGAAAGCTGAGAGTCTACCTGTCTAAAGTACCTACCCCACCCATCTTAATTTTCATGACAGAACCAATTTTAATTTTCATGACAGGTTCCAGGCAATGCCTTACTCCAATATTGCTATAATCATTCACTATTTCCAGGGTATATACCTCTGTCCCCACATGTTTTAAATCTCAATGTATACAGCTTCAAATATTGGTAGAGAGCTTCATATGCATTTTCATAAGCTATTCCTCAGATAATTAAGTGAGAAGAATGTGGCTCTCAGAGCCACCTCAACTTGCAGTGTCATGCACACTGGAGACATGGCTCTAGTGGCTGTGTAGTTATGAAGCCCTGCTTACGTTAGTAAATGTGCTAAAAGGGTTGGGGAATGACAGATCCCAGACACTATCGCTACCCCAAAGAAGCTGAAAATCTTGGGCCATACTGTGAATTTTTTTAAAAGTGCTCTAAAATATTAAGTATTATATAGAACTTTCTATTAAGAAACAAAATTAATAAAGATAAATTTTATAAAAGAAAGAAACAAGAATAAAGATCACCCAGGCCAAAAACTGCTTGTTAGTTTTTGTTAAAGATAGACTTAGAAACAGGCATTTGCCTTTTCATGTTAGTAATAATGTAGATGGAACTTTTTTACTTCTGGACTTATTAAAAAATTGCATGCGCTGGTACCTGTTGGGGGTAACCGACAAGGCTAACTATTTGTTGAGAACTGTACAGTCTCCGATTTATCATCTCACTGCTCAGCACCCAGAGGGCTGCGTTTGCCCAATAAAGCGGAGAGGAGGTCCAGAGAGTATTGGGTTCCCAATGTTCCCAACTGCATCTTTCAACCTTTTCACCCCCAGTAAATGTCGGCATGGCTGCTCAAACATATTTATTTTAATCAAGAGTCATCTCAGCAGCCTGCCCGTGGAGATTATACTGCCATTTCATAGACGTTAATTAAACCGAGGACGGGTCATCTGTGAATCACTGTAAATAGCACGAAGTTGAAATGTTTCCTGCTTTCTCTTAAAAAGCTGCCTTTTCTCGCCCGTTATTTTGTTCACTTCCCAGAGCGCCAACCCGCGAGAAGACACACACACACACACACACACACACACACACACACACACACGTTTACAATCCCTGCACCCCCTCTGGTGGTTCATGGATTTATGGCTCCCGGTTTAATTAAAGTCTCTCCTAAGACGCTGGAAATTGGCCCCGTGCGGCACAGCCAGGGGCTCCTTTGCGCCCCCCTCCCGCCCGCATCAGGCTCAGTGCAGGGGCCCGCAAGGCCCAGCTACGGGGAGGGGGGGGGGGTGTGTGTCACCGAAACCCACCTGAGCCGCCGCTTCCGCCTGCGTCGCCGCTTACGCCGTGCGCTCCGCACTTCCGCCCGCCAGAGCGACCCAGCGCCGGCACTTCCGCCCGGCCCGCCTTCCCTCAGGCCGGTGTGTGGATCTCAGATCTGAGCAGATCGCCCCTTTGAAGGGTGGCCGCGCCTGCCTGCCATCATACTTGGAAAGAAAGAAAAAAAACAAGCCGAACTGTTAATAAATGGGGGTGGGAGTGGGAAGGGGGGACACGGAAAATGACCCAGAGTGTTTGGGGACTACTTAATAACAAAAGTCAGTAGCCAACTTTTTGAGAATGTGCAATCCATTCCATTTTATCCCCTTTACTGCATTTGTTCATTCATTCGTTTATTCATTCATTCATTCACTCATTCATTCAGTGGTTACTGTCCTCCTCTGGGTTTGGAGTGAGCTAAGTTATGAAGGAAACTGGCAGCTGTACCCTCAGCAAACTCTCCACAATGGACACACAGAAGGCCAAAAGGCATATGAAAAAGTGCTCAAAGTCACTGATCATCCCAGAGATACAAATCAAAACAACAATGAGGTACCATCTCACACCTGTCAGAATGGCTACCATCAACAAATCAACAAAGGACAAGTGTTGGTGAGGATGTGGAGAAAAGGGAACCCTGGTGCACTGGGGTGGGAATGCAGACTGGTGCAGCCACTGTGGAAAACAGTTTGGAGTTTCCTCAAAAAATTAAAAATGAGACTGCCATTTGACCCAGTGATTCCACTTCTACAAATATATCTCAAGAAATCAGACACCCATCAGAAAGAATATATGCACCCCTATGTTCATAGCAGCACAATTTACAATAGCTAAGATTTAGAAACAGCCTAAGTGCCCATCAGCAGATGAGTGGATTAAAAAATGGTGGCACATCTATACAATGGATTACTATGCTGCTGTAAGAAGAAAGAACTCTTACCATTTGCAACAGCATGGATGGACCTGGAGAGCATTATGCTAAGCAAAATAAGCCAGTCAGAGAAAGATAAGGATCACATGATCTCACTTATATGTGGGATATAATGATCAACATAAACTGATGAACAAAAATAGACCCAGAGACATAGAAACATCCAACAGACTGTCAAACCTCAGAGGGAAGGCAGGGGAGGGTGGAGTGGGGCGGGAGGGGGGGGGGCCTCGATCAACCAATGAACTCATATGCTTATATGCATAACCCATAGACACAGACAGTGGGGTGGTGAAGGCTTGGGGGAGAGGGCAATGGGGGGGTGGGTGGAAAAGGGGACATATGTAATACTTTCAACAATAAAGATTTATTTTTAAAAAAGCATTTAAAAATCTGTAGGCAAGTCAGACCTTAGGAAATGATCCTTAAAATAGGTTGTGTTCAGTGAACCTAGTACTTTGAAAGGGAAGGAATGTGGACCTATGAAAAAATATGAATGTGATGTACTTAAAGAGTAACCTTTGGCTAGGGATGTATTGTACCTGGTTAGGCAGGGACAGAGCTCTCCAGGCCTAGGGAAGGCTAGAACTGGAGGGAGTCTGGCCTGGGCAATGCACAGAAGACTAACTAGTATGGCAGCAGCATAGGAATGGAAAGGAAGTGGAAATAGGCTAAAGAGACTGGGCAGGAGTCAGGTGTTACAGGGCCTTTTGGGTTTTTGCTAAAGGTAGCTGGAGGGATTTTTATTTTATGCTGTTTATGTTTGTATGTGGGAAGAGGGTTGAACTGATTGCATTTCTGTTAGGGGCAAAAATAGAATATTGGGGACTAGCTATAGTTATAGCAAACATTAATCATGCTCTGTTTACCATGATTACCTTGGTCTGGTTAAAGAAAGGACATTCTAACCCGGCTGGGAGTTGTACCCACCTGGGACCTGGGAATCAACCTTGGACCTGGTAGCCAACCTTGGACCTGGAAGTCAACCTTGGAATTTGGTCCATTCTCAATTAAGAACTGCCTATTATCATGGAAAGATTAACAACCTTGTTTTCCAAACACTAGAGCCCAACCCAGCCTGCATTGCCTACTTTCCCATGCCGGTAATTCCTATTTCCCCATGTAGTCTTTGTCCTACCCAATATAAGCAGCTGGCTGATGGGCGGTTGCAGAGCAGATTTTTTGTGGATGACCTGCTCCTCTCCCTTACTGCCAGCAGTATTGGAATTAACACTCATATATGATTCAACCCTGTCTCTGCTTAATTGGCTCAAATAGTGACAGGCACACCGACCCATTGGTTGTCCAGTTACATTTCCACTCTGAAGGATCCTCAACTTTGAGAAGGCAATGGGGTAGGTGAGAGCAGAGTACAAGCAGGGAAGGCAGGAGGTGGCTAAGTAGCCAGGGTGTAGGTGTGGTGGCTTGAATGGTAGTACTATAAATAGTGAGAAAATGATGAATAATAAGAGTAATATTCAAAGTTAACATTTATTGATTGCTCACCAACAGCTTTACATTCATTAACCTGCTAATCTGGAGAACAATTCTATTAAGTATTCTTAGTGCCATTTTACAGATGAAGAAATGGAGGCTTAATAACTTGCCCTGTTCTCAGAGTGAGGAATTGCCAGAGTTGGGATTCCATTTCATGCTGTCTGATGCCAGTATCCATGAGTTTACCACTATACACTCAATATGTTTTCAGTGAAAAAAAAAAAAGACACAAAACGAACCAAGGTCAGAAGTGAATCCCCTAAACAAACCACATTGTTTATGTGACATTGTTAGAGGACACATCTAGAAAGTAGAGTTTTCAAATTCTTACTTTATCATTTTGTCATTTGCTGATAGCAAAAGAGGGGATTTTGTGACCACCAACAGACTACCTGTGGCTATTTTTCAGTTGATACACTCTGATAAGAACTAATCTTTCAGGGGTGGAAAAAGTCAGTCAACTAAGTACACTCCACCTACAGATGCTGATATAATATTTGTAAAGAAGTTATCTTGGGTCTAGTTATAAACATCTTGGTGACGCATGTATAACTAACATGTTGTGGAGTAACAGAAAGGTGTCCTAGAAATGCAACTCCATGTCAGCTTCCAGATCTCATTGCTTGTTGAAAAACAAAATAAATTGGATTTTGTGAAACCTGATTTCATCCACTGAAGGAGAAGAATGACTTCACCAAAGGCCAACAGTGAAGGCTTTTAGCATTGGTTATGGGTAAATTTCTCTAAGGCGCCAAACATTCACAAATTTTTAGAATTTGAGTTTAATTAGTAAGTTCGGAGATAGCACAAGACTTAGTGTGTCCACATAATAGTTTTACTAGTAGTTGAGGGCTGACATCCATGAAATGGCCTAGAACTCACTGTAGTCAGTACCCAAGCACTTTGGGAGTGCTGGGCTGAATGCCAGGAGCCCAGAGGACCAGTTTAGCCTGTAGGTACAGGCTCACGATTCTTGGCATATGAGCTGTGCTTGGGAAGATGTCTTAGAGTCTGACAAGGAAAAATTATTGTCTCAAAAAAAAAAAAGGCACAAAAAGAAAAGAAAAAGAAAACTGACAAAGCAGACTTAATAAGCATTTATTAAATGGTCACAAAATATAATACTGAGTCAACTTCATTCATTGCTGGATTTAGTATTCATAACAATTTCATTAAACTGGAAAACAGTTTTTAAATGAGATGCTCTTCTTGAGTGAGAGTTTCTAAATATATATGATGAGTGTTGAGAAATCACAGCATATTTTAAATTAGTTACTTTAAAAAATATATTTTATTGATTTTTTACAGAGAGGAAGGGAGAGGGATAGAGAGTTAGAAACATCAATGAGAGAGAAACATCTATCAGCTGCCTCCTGCACACCCACCACTGGGGATGTGCCCGCAACCAAGGTACATGCCCTTGACCGGAATCGAACCTGGGACCCTTCAGTCCGCAGGCCGACGCTCCATCCACTGAGCCAAACTGGTCAGGGCTTAAATTAGTTACTTTAGTTAAATAATTTCATAAGCAAAATTATAAAGTTCTTTGTTAGCAAAATTATTAAATATGGAATATGTACACATTTTAACATGTAACAAGTGATGTAAAGGTCTTAGTATAGTGATGAGTCTTGCACAGTTTGTTCACTTGAAGCATGCTTGTCATAGGCATTTGACCAGGCCTCTAGGTCTGGACTCCAATCCCAAACTAACCCTGGGAATCTGGACAGGACTGGTGCAAGGATCTCTGTGTTTTGGCATGTCAGTTCAGAACTCACCTGGGTTGAATTTTTCTCTTAGATCGCACGCCCTGCCAGCTCTATGGTCAGTTCTGAGACTGAGACTGTTCTATAGAAAGCCTGCTGGTACACAGTCTGGCCTGCAGCTCCTGAGATAACTCCAAGGGTACCTTAGAGGACACACTGCCTGTTCTTCCAGAGGTGACCTGGAGCCAGGCTTCCCCCACCTAAGAGCTAGAGGTGTGTTGTGGAGGGAGGCCTCTTCTCTCCAACCCCCTGGCTTTACTTCTGAGAGAGCAGGAGTAAAGAAATTGCCTTTTTTTTTTTCTGATGTCAGTGCTTCCCCTTGAGAATACCTTAGAAAAATAATGTGTGTCCTGACAGGTGGTGACTGTCTTGCCAACTGTATTTTACAGTAACCTGGCTCCAGGCTGCCATTCAAAATATATGCATTCTGAACTTTGACTAGGAGGGACAGTCCCAGTAATTGCCACATTTGGGTGATGTTACCATGGCAATGGAGGTGTTTAGAAACCTGGTAGGTTTTACTCCTGGTCCTTATAGTGAGGTCCTTATGTATTTGTCTCTGGAGTGTCTAATCTCCAGTACTGCAAACTCGCAGGAAATGATCTGTAAAGGGCCAGATATTGTGTTATGTTTAAGGTCATAAAGAAAAACAGTGGCAACCTCCCAAAAAAAGACAGACTTCTGAGTCTGGATGTGTTGGGTCAGCAGGGTCACTGTTGACTCCCCCAGGCCAAGCATTACAGGAAACAGAATTATAAGCCTGTCTAACCAGAGGAGAATGGACTTCAGTAGCCTGATCTCTATATTCCCCTTGACATTTAAAAAACTCCGCTCTTGTGCCAGACATTCAGAGGA